GAGACATCTTGTGTCCAGCAGCAAAACTTTAGATGAGGTAGTAGCAGTAGTGCCCCTTTAAGGATTTTAATGTGGAAATGTAACTGTTTCTATGTATGTCTGAATACATGTCTGGAGGGGATCTTCAAATGTCTTAAAGTCCAATGGTCCTAACCCTATTCAGAGATGATTTTTTCCTTTGTTTGTGCAAGTGGATTTGTTTGGCCACTGAAACAGAAGACATACAGTATGATAGTAATCACATATTTACTTCTGTTTATGCAGTAGATAAGAGATAAGAGATTTTTATTTGTCACATGCACAGTTATACATAGTACAATGCACAGTGAAATGCTTCTTTATACCTGCAGCCAGTAGTAAAGAAAGAAAGAAAAACAAAATCCTACTACTACTACTACTACTACTACAGTAATACATTTATCTGGACAACCAGAAAGAAAACACAAATATGGAAAATTTAGTTTTAACTTTTATTAAGATGCAGGATTTTTTTTACTTTTGGACATATTTTCATGAGTTTTGGACTGTACAAATCCACACAGACACAAGGAGGACAAGGGCGGACATTTACACCAGTCACACAGTGCTTATTAAGGCAAAGAATACAAATTACAGTACATACTGTTAGTCTGAGGTGGTTCACTCTTTTAAAGTGTGAAGGAGTCAGGAAAATATTTAAAGGGATAGTTGGATTTCCTGGAAAGGTTTCTATTCTTCCATCCCCAAGAGTTAAAAAAAGCCTATGGATGCCATTTTTTGTGTCTTTCATAATAGTAAAAGCATAGTAAAAATGGAAATAAAGTAAAGATGTATGGGTGATGTTAAAACTAATCTAAAAATACCAATAATAATAATAATAATGATACCATAAACCAGGGACGGTTGGCATCAGTTCATGCTCCAGATTGACAGATATTGCTGAAACAGAATCAAATGTTGGTTCAATATATTGGTGTATGTTCTGCAATTTCCCAGCTTGGGATCAATAAAGTATATTTATCTATCTATGTAGGAATAAGTTATATCTCACATATACAGCAATGCACATAGATTTAAAGAAGCCTATTATTTACAAAAGAGTTATCCAATTATGATTGTTTCTGTGGTGTTTGCAGCCTTAAGGCCTCAGTATGCTCGCCGTTTCCGACCTGTCGCGCGACACTGTGACGTCAAAAATGACGTAGATCTCGCTGGC